GGATCGACATCCCCTGCAACGAAGTAGGGGTTCGATGGTGTAGATCATGCCAGAGACGCGGATATTCTGGTTCTGCTCAGTCATTACCAAGCATTTCGTTCACTTTGATGGAGGATTTTCTTTGAAAGCCGGGTTCTTCTCTCAGCGACCTGTGGCTTGCAATTTGTCTTTCTTTTCTATATTCGCCTCTTGAGAAGAAATCCGAGCAACAACAGTTGCCAATTTCGATTATTTGTAGGAGTTCTTGATCATTCAGGAAATTTGCGCATTTTTCATATAACATAATAGTTTTAACTATATAGGCTGAGTAAACACATTGTAACTTTCATATTCCATGACATGTTGCCATTATCTTGTTATTTTAACATAAGCTGCCTCGAAAAAATCTAGAAAGTAGCATATTTGCCTATTTCTGAGTAGAAATCCCCTGGGGAGTAATCCCCTCCCCAGCGTTTCCCTTGTGCATAGCAGGGATGGCTGCTGGGGATCATTACCCTGGGATAAAAGACGATATGCAGCTGATAGCTACAGCGTTTATGGAGAGCTGGCACAATTTGCAGCTTCTGTTCTGTGTTAGAATACTGCTTTGAGCGTCCGCGCGGCACCCCCTCCCCTTTTCGGCAACATAACGTCTTCTACCCATTCCCTTGCAGAGACACATCAACTTCTATAGTTCAACGTTTTTACGCTGAAATGGAGCAGCATGAGCGAAAGTGGGCAGCATCCAAGAAAGCAGGAACATAATGGGAGTAGAAAAAATCATTTTTAGTGCCCCGAGCGCAGTCACTGCATACGCGCATTCCGCAACCCTAAATTAATGAAAGTGAGGAGATGAAGATGAGTTGCAGTCAAAATATGAAATAAGAAAGAGTTTTTCATAGAAATTTTGAAAGCAAGGTGATTTCCCCGCTTGATCCCCTCTTGTGCATAAGGGGGTTCACTTCCCCTCCCCACAGGGGATCCCTTGTCCGATATTGTCTTTGTGCATACGGGGGTTCGCGCGGGGAGGGGAGGGGATCCCCAGCGGGGATCATTTCAATGGTTAAGCGCACATCCCCTCCCCGCGGGGATGTACGTGCATACGGGCCTAAGACATCTCGTCTTTATGCACAAGATCTCTTACGCTGCTTATACTACGATATCGTCCTACAAAAGATGTCTGTGATAGACTTAACCGTGCTTGGCCTTTCTTTGAAAACGGATGAGACAATAACCATGCTCGAAAAGCGAAAACCAAGGAGAAAATAGAAGATCATCAGCGCGCGTTGCTGCGGTACCAGTTGTCACCGTGTTAGGCTCAAACATTGGATGCGGTCACTATACAGGCTAAAGCGCCCGCATTTGTAGAGCAACCACACGATTAGATACCTGCTCAGCAGTGGCAGTCCTAGAATTTCTGTTCTGGAGGGAAAGACTTTTTTTGAAATTTTTTGATTGAATGCCTGGCGTTAGCCACGCACTCTCAAATTTGTGATGCTTATCTGGAATTTTTACAGCCATAACCCTAAAATCAAAAATACAATCCCCCAAAATACACTCAATACAAAGTAACTACATATTTGCTCACATTAGGAATCCCACTTCAAATAACCTCCACACTCTGAAATCAAAAGCGACCCAAAATCTCGTGTGTCCATTTTTCGATTTCAATTTTTCAGACTAGAGAAGACCAATCAAATGACTTTTGTGAAAGTTACGAGGATCAGACTATCGAATATACTTGTTCTTGCCGCCTTCCCTCGCGATTCACGCAGTAGCACAGAGTTAGCATGTTACCGTAATCCAATATTTTCGCGGTATTTTCCATTTGAGTAAATAAGGAAAAACGACCGTATTTTTCCCTGTGAGAAACGAATTTGTATGAAATTCCTGCTATGTGGAGAAGAAGGTTTAACAGTAGCAATCATGTAAAAAGACAGAAATTTGGGTACTTTGAAGGTAAGTTGATGGGGTGTGGCACAACCCCTAAAAAGCTGTGGCCGCCACAGCTTTTTGGGATAGGTGCCATACCCCGTTAACTTGTCTACGAAAAGAATTTTAGCGAACAAAATACATACAGTCTGATAGCATGAGTCTTGTAGTTTTTACAGGAGTAATTTGGGCCTGATTCATCTTCGCTCTGAGTAAAGCCTGATGAAAGCGCAGCCATTGGAAGCGAAAAACGGAACAAACGAGATTTTGGCCTGCTTCTAACTCCATATTTTACCGGTTATTTGAAGCAGGATTTAGATGTGGGAAAATAGAGAGTAGGGCTTTGTATTGAGTGCAAAAGGGGTAGCTAATTCACTTTAGAAATGTAGTTAGCCATGTTTGAAAATGATCACTTCACTTGGGTGATCCAATACTAAAAATCCTCAAAATTTGCTAAAACTTGGTCTATGGTGGTTATTTGACATGATAATACAGTAGAGTAGATTTTCCGCTTAATATAGTGTGCTTGCACAGAGGGTGAAATGCGGTGAATTTTGCGCGTGAATAAATAGCCACGCCAGTACTGCCGGCATTTTGCGCGCGTCTGCGTTTGGTCTGCGTCACAGTAGAAGCTAATTGTTCACGCGCAAATTTTACCGCATGTCACCTTCTGTACAAGCACACTATATTAAAGGCAGTGTCCAGGCAAATCTGGACTTTTTGGTTTTTTGCGTGGAAAGTGATGGGGGGCCACTGACTAAACCAATGCTCGAGTTGCAGCGCACGGGGTTCCCTCACGGCAGAGAAATCGGCCTCCGAACCCGTCTTCCCCGCGCCGTGACCGTAACACTTCAACAGCCTAAACGCACACCACGGTCCCGGCGCGAAACCATGAGGACAGGGTGTAGCGCGGAAACTTGTTGGGACAAACTTACGAAACGGCTGGAGATTAAATAAAATATTCTGTACAGACCTCCACAGGTCAGTACAATCGAGAGAATGGGATCAGTATAACATGTTCGAACCACGCCATGTGCACGTCGGTGATAGGAACGTGGAACGAGATGGAAATGACCAGAAAAACTCGCGGCCACTGAAAACATGCGAAAGGCTCGCTGATGATGCTGCTTCGCAGTTTATGCGGTGTTTGTCCATTCAGTGCCCAGAAAACAGAAGATGATGCACTATGAACATCAGTGTGATGTCATTTCGATGGTTTTGGATCCACCAAATGGAGAATGTGTAGGACTCTTTGCACCAGATGTATGAGGAATTCTATCAGAAGAGAGCAAAGAAAAGTTGGTTATGGAAGAATGTGCCACACTGCAATAAGCTCGATGCTACTTTTCTAAATCGAAAACGTTTATATTGTCGCCAAATCTCACTACTTGGTGCAACTACACTGTTTTGAAATCCGGAAATCATATGTATTATTCATTCTCTGACTAGGAGACGCGAGCACGCTTTGTAATTTCATTAACAAAATCAGAATGAGTTTCAACACGTTTTGGTTGGTTTAGTATTAGAATTCGTGGAAGAATAGGTTTAAGCTCGTTAAACCACGCTGGCCTGAACACGCTCTTCCAAGAATCCCTGGTAATAATCAACAAAACGCGTTAAAACTGATCCACAACTGGTTGACCAAACGTACTCGTAAGCGTGGTCCCTTAGCCAGAGAATGAATGATAAGGATTAAAGGATCCAACAAAACTATTTTAGGAAGGGCACTTACTGAAAATCTAGAACAAAACCCTAACACATAATTTATGTCCAAAAATTGTTTCCGAGTAGTTGGAAAACCAAAAATTACACGCAGCATTAAAAGAAGGGACGGCCATACTATTTCCGCGATTCCTGTGATTCTGCGGGTCCCGCAACCATGCATATTCCGAAAAAACCATTTGTACTGAAATTCGGAGAGCGCTCCGCACTGCGCCATATCGGAAGCCGAGAATAACAGGAATTGCAGGAATTACAGGAATCGCGGGAATCACCTCCTGGAGTAGTATGGCCGGTCCCTTCAAGAAAACAAGGCAAATACAAAGAAATGGTACACATCCATGCATTCAAAAAGCAAAGCAGCCTGCTACATGGCCATAACCATCAAACATGTTAAGAAGTCGCAAGAAAGAATAAAAACTTACTTTGGTGATCGTTAAGGAGAATATAGCGGCAACTTAGCAAAAAAAGTCTCACAGGGGAAGTTCTACGTAGAAATAAAGGAGTAGCGAGTTTGCGGGATTTATTCCAACGAGTTTCCGCGCTACACCCTGTCCTCATGGTTTCGCGCCTGGACCGTGGTGTGCGTTCAGGCTGTTGAAGTGTTACGGTCACGGCGCGGGGAAGACGGGTTCGGAGGCCGATTTCTCTGCCGTGAGGGAACCCCGTGCGCTGCAACTCGGGCATTGGTTTAGTCAGTGGCCCCCCATCACTTTCCACGCAAAAAACCAAAGGGTCCAGGTTTGCCTGGACACTGCCTTTAAGCGGAAAATCTACTCGACTGTACGATTATGTGCCTAATTAGGCATCGTAGAGGCTGTCATGCCTATGGAAGGCAAACGATAATGCTGTATGGGGGGGGGGGGGTGGGACAGATGAGGGTGGGGGGGGGGGCGGGGGGTATTGAGACAGAAGATAGCGTAGGGGAGGGGGAAGGCGGGGGGGGGAGGGTATCCGGGCTTGTGTGCCACACCTCTTGCTCGACCCTGCCCGGTACTAATTCGCCAGTGTACAAGTCGTGCTCTCGTAACGTTTCAGCAGCGCCGCGTGTGGTCCGCAGCGTGTGGGCAGTCCGTGCGGCCAACGAACCAACGATACATCACTTTCTGGATGGCGAGGTACAAGCATCATTTCTAGACCGATAAGGACTAAACTTTCCACACGAGCATTTCGTGGCTGTATGGGTTCTTAGGCTACTTTTGCTTCTTACATGAAGTTGATTTGCCGATTTAGCAGAAAGTTGGGGGACGGCGTTGATGGAAGCACTTTATTAGTACGCTAATTTCGAGCGACGAGTTTAGTGGATCACCACTTGTCAATTTTTTTGCGATCCCTAGGCTGGGAATTGGGAGTTGTGACAAGATAAATGATCACATGATCACAATGACAACCATTTGAAAATTATCCAATGCGTTAATCCATACAGTCCAACCTTGGGCTTTGGGGCTGGGAAGTGGTGAGTTAAGCATGATAGCATGTACATCAGATCGACAAAGCTCCGTAGGCAGTTTGAGCCAATTCTTGTAGAAAAGGGTAAAAGTACTGTCAGAATGAGCCACAAGGATAGAACGAAGCCAACCTATTCTTTCTAAGATGGTAGGAGCAGATTTGGGTGATTGAACATGCGCAAACACTGACTGTCTTAGCAAGCATTTCTGCGTCACATTTTTGGATGAGCGACTTCATCTTGTGTAGCAAGATCTCACCCAATTTGCAATGATTTGTTTGAACCTTCTCGCTTTTGCACGATATGACGTTATTGCATTGTATTCAGGTAGTAAGAATACCTCAACTTTCCCGTATTTTCAGAAAATTTCAATTGATCTATAAAGCTAAATGAAAGAAGTCTTGGCATGCCGAAAGCCTAATTTCATATTTGAGATCTAGCTATATTCTGCGTAGTTATTATTCTACTGTAAAGGTTGAAGTTAATAAAAATTGAAACGCATACCTTTAGTGTGGCTGTTTGTCCAGAAGGCAAGACATCGTTTAGGTAAAAGCTCACTCGCTCGTGAGTATGGTCATAGTCAAGCCTTTCTACGACAAATGCATTGTCGTGCTGAAATCAACCCACAATCAAAATTCAACGTACTAAAGTTGAGTGATTTTTAAAGATCGCTGTAAGTAATCAATAGCGTCAGAGTACATCTAAACTCGTAAAGGCAGCGTCCATCCAAAATCTATTCACCCCCAATCACTACTTATCCTACCAGAGGCCCTAAAAGTAGGCCAGTTGCGTTGGTCCGGTCCCTAATGTTGCCTACAAAAGGAGATAACGGATTTGGATCTCTTTGCGCTCCATCCGCTCACTGAATGCCCAGTGACGTGTTCTGAAATGACAAGCAACCTTGAGACGCATAATTTGTAATATGGTACTACTCTACACGACAAAGTTTCGTATAGCATACGACATGACTAGCGCAGGGGCACCCGTCGACGTCTGCCAAAATAGGGCTTCAGGAAGGAGCAATTTGAATTTTTTGGTGATTTTAACTTCATATCCGAAATCAGCGCTGGGAAGGCCCTATAAGAATATCGCAAGACGAAATTTTGGGTGTACGCTGCCTTTAAGGTACAAAAAAGTGTATCTGATTGGACGTTGCTTAGCGATCTCTGACGTGACCTTCGCGTTTAGACAAACAACCTTCCGTGTGGAACAATCCCAGCTGGTTTGCTGCGAAGGTTCGCTCGTCAAGCAAGAGCTTGGGCCATTGTTGGAACTCTCATAGAGGCCAGCTTACACAAATTTCAAAAGTTACATCGTGATATTTACAAGTGCCTATCTATCCTCGGAGTTTAATTTGCGTCTAGTTTTTCTGATTTCTTTTTCAAAAAAGCTGGATTCAGGTTGTTCAAAAATGCCGACCTCAAGGGCACATCACATCTTAATATTCTAAAGAACTCACCGAGAATACACTACACTTTTCCTTTTCGATGGAAATTCCTGCTTGATTTAAGACTATGACGTTCGTTGATTCACGAACAAGCATGTTGATTCTTACTTCGCCATCAACTGTCAAATTTTTCTCCTTTGGAAAATCCACATAGAACGGCAGGTAAATTTTGATAACAAGCTCATAAGATGCTAAAGATAAGTCACTGAGGGACGTTAAAAATTCTAGTTCCTCTGAGATAGCCCGATTGGTGAGGAATCTGTGAAGGCGACTAATGTCTACCTATTATAATGTCTGCCTTGCATACATCAGCAAGTATTCATCTCTCATATGGCAACCTCTAGCCACATGCGATACATCGCTTGAAAGAAGGCGAGATGGTACAAAAATATTCGAATTGCAAAAATCGCTGTCTTTTCTAAATTTTTGAACAAATCTTGGAAAGATTAGGATCCAACAACCTGAGTGAAAAGCTTAGAGTAAATGCGAGAATTGTGATTCATACATGGGAAGCTTTAGAAGTATTGCATTGCAGTGATCCCAAAATGCAGATCCACTGGATCATGTCACACTTGTTTAGAGGCAGTGTCTCACCAAAATTTGGTTGTCGAGGTGCCTGTCCTACGACTATTGGCAACAATGCTATGGAGGTGAACGCCAAGCGGAGGAAAGGTTGTTTCGCGCAAGGAGGAAACGGGAGCGTTGGCCGTGCGGGCCAAACCGCGCTTTGAGGAGCCACTTTGAGGGCAAATTCGGCGTAGAAGGGCAGGAATAGAGTAGAACTTGGGGCGGTCGCCTATCCAGGGGGTACCCTAACGAATTACGTAGAGACCCGCACTTCTTCAATTTTGATGACACTGCCTTTATGGTGTGAAGTAAACACTTGCTTCTCGCATCTCCTGGCACTACAATGGGTAGATAGCAGTGGCGTACCGAGGAGGGGGGGGGGCGGGGGCCGCCCCCCCCCCGAGAATGGGTCGCTGAAAGTTACTTACATGAGATATAAAAATGTGCAGGTGACTTATTTATACTTGTAAGCAACAATTGTAATAATTTTTAAAATTTTCTAAAAATTCAATTTAGCATAAAAAATTTTTTTCTAAAATTTTGGAGTTATGAGCCCGCGAAAATTTTGAGAAACATACCAACAATTTTCTCTCGGCGCGTGGCTGACACCACGCACCTTCATCAGAAAAAATTATTTGTCGCGCACCCCCCCCCCCGGGCCGAAATCCTGGGTACGCCACTGGTAGATAGTGATGAGGAACTTCAAAAATTCAATACAAGCTATTCTCATTTTGCATATCAACTCAGAAATTAAAAAAACAGAAAAGCTCAGATGTGTTAGGACTGCTTGTAGAATAAGCGAAAACATCGTAAGGATTGCGCATATGGCAATGAAAAGATTTCATGTCAGTTCCGAAAGGGAGAAAAAGCGTAGCCGAATGATAATTCCGCTCCTCGGTCGCTGCTCTATTGTAAGCAATCAAGTGAAAAGAAGAAATTCCGGCACGACCTAATGATTTGCAGCAAATTTTAAAGCCATTGATCCCGAAAGCAGTTCCGTGGAAATTCACCAATTCACTTCAAATCGTGTCAGGCGATATTAAGAGCAAGAAAATTACTTATTACTTTTGCATATTGTGAACATAATGTGACCTGATACAACTGTTCATCAAGACACTAATGCTGTAGGACGAAGATATTGTCACGTTGTCTGTATATACAGTCGAGTAGATTTTCCGCTCAACATAGTGTGCTTGCACTGCAGGTGAAATGCGGTGAAATTTGCGCGTGAACAAATAGCTACTTCTGTGGCGCTGGCCAACTGCCGGCAAAATTTCGGCATTACTGGCATGGCTATTTGTTCACCCGCGGATTTTACCGCATTTTACCTGCAGTGCCTGCACACTATGTTAGGCGGAAAACCTACTCGACTGCAAGCTGTATCAACGAGCATCGGTCATGCGATGTGCTGCGCCAACTAGCGACGGTGCGGTTGTCGCGTGCGAACGCTGCTACGCATTAGGAACTTCGCGTACGACAGTGCTTCACCGCAAAAAATGCCAATGCGGGATCGATGATAGTTATACAGCCTATATTAAATTCGTTTGCGTACCGAAAATGCAGCACTTTGTGATTACCAGTGTTTTTCTTTTATAAGAGATAAGAGAAAAGGTAGAACGAGAGCCTTTGAAATTGCTTTCGTGGAATAGAGAAGAAATGTTTGTACTAGTGAAATTGTGTTCGTGGAATAGAGAAGATATGTTTGTACTAGTGGCTTTGCGCTTGATACAGTGAGAAACTGATTTGAAGTACTTATTAGGTTGTCCGGAAATTAATGCAGGTTTTGAATCCCAACCGCAATAAGTCATACTCTTCTCATTTCTAAGTAGGTTGCAAGGTACCGTTCGATAGAGCAAAGCAAGCTCTACCAGATGGCTATCTTGCTTTAGCAACAGCTCTGATCCACACGAGTTTCGCGCCAAAAACTAAAAACATTCAAGTGTCCGAAAAATTGAGAAAAATCGTAACTCAGTCCATAAAAATCCTATAAAAATTCTAACTTGCTCACGTAAGCATAATCCACATAGAGCATCTATATACGCCGTTGCCGTATTTTTTTCTCTGTTGAAAATCAAGAAAACGGAGATTTTCGTGCATTTGCCAAAGTGGTGCTGTGCCGATCCCACATAAGTAATTGTATTCTACAAGCCTGTACAAGTACAAACATAAATTTCCAGCTCTCTACAAGCTTTAGTTCTCGAGAAATTTGAATTTTAGCTTGAACCACATGATTAGGGAAAACTGTATTCGATAATTGGCATTTTGGCAAATGCACGAAAATCTCCGCTTTTTTGATTTTCAACAGAGAAATAAATACGGCAACGGCGTATATAGATGCTCTATGTGGATTATGCTTACGTGAGCAAGTTAGATTTTTCATAGGATTTTTATGAAATGAGTTACGATTTTTCTCAGTTTTTCGGACACTTGAATGATTTAGTTTTTGGCGCGAAACTCGTTGTGGGCCAGAGCTATTGCTAAAGCAAGATAGCCATCTGGTAGAGCTTGCTTTGCTCTATCGAAGTACCTTGCAATCTACTTAGGAATGAGAAGTGTGTGACTTATTGCGGTTGGAATTCAAAACCTGCATTAATTTCCGGACAACCTGATACATCAAGGTCATATTGGTAGCTGCCTAACTACCATACGTATAAATTACGTTGACAAATCAAGTTTAGAAAGTTGCAAAGTATAATACATGAACGGCAGCAAAGGCGATAGAAAGACCGTCTTGCCTTCCGCTCTTAGATTTAAAATATTAGGTCGTTTCATAAGTTCGTAGAGTTTTATGAATCAGTAAAATGACAAAATTTTAGCAAAATTCAATCAGCAGTGTATGTTCAGGTATTGCGCACAACCTTTCACCACCAGGCCATCAGGTTTCCTGTTCCGTTTTCCAAAACTCAGCTGGTCTGGTCCCAAAAAAGTCGTCTAACCAGCGCCTGAGCTCGCCTTCAAAATCAAGACAGACGCGAACAGATAGACTGGAACAAATGACAATATGCTAGAGCGAGATCTCAAGAGTACATTGGGTACTAATGTACCTCCCGGTCAAATCTTGCAGTACAGCTATGACTACGGTTGCCGTAGGGAACCAATTTTATCGCGCAAAAAAGCTCACTGGACCTGTTTATTAGGCTTTCTCTGCAGTAGGGATGAGTTTAGACGTGCAGTCGGGTTGCATACGGTATGGACAACCATCTTGTTCTTGCCTAGCCAAACTCAGTGCAGAACCTTCTGCCCATCCTGCAAAAAGTATTCAGGTGGTATCCTGCAAACTCTAACTCTTTGTTTTTGAAGCAATCCGATCCCTCTTTTGTCTCATATTGATGAGAAAACGCCTTCTTCCATAATCGGCAAGAAAATTTGAGCAAAGCGCATTTTTTTGATAAGAAAAAATCTGAGCAAAACGCATTTTTTTGATAAGAAAAAGAGCAAGTGCAGAAAATGCTTCTTTTTGCCTTTTAAGAATTCCTTCTTTGGAAGCTGAGGAATCAAAGCAAATCAGCTTTTAATAGAAATAATTAGTATGTTTAAAAGGGTATGATCAGCTCTTTCAATGGTCTACGCATCTTGCTGCAAATCAACCGCTCCTCAAAGAAATGAGAATGATAATGAAACTATACGGACTTATGAAACGACCCAACCTAATAGTTTATGTGGGTTTCATGCTTATACTTGGCACGGGTCAGACAATCAAAGGGTTCACAGTTTCATGAGATGGAACCAAACCTGAGACTTCCGATGAGCAGCAAGAACAAGGTGAAGAGCTTTACTGAAACCGCTTCGCCCTTCGCTCTAGATTATGTGTACACCTTGAAGACTAGCTGTCCTGAGACATTTAAATCACAAGCGATGTCACTTTGTTTCTTATCCCTTGCCAAAATAAAGACATCCTTCTCAAATCGGCCGTTTCCGAATCAGTGAATTTAGTGGATGAACAGAAAGTTCAATGTAAAATAAAAGAGTAAGGAGACCTTTTTCAAAAAAAAATACCATTTTGTAACCATTGTTCTGACTCCATGTGTAAAACTCAAATATAAGTTTGTCAACGTAACGCGAACACATGGTAGTTGAGCAGAAATCATATCGACTACGCTTACATGGCACCACATTTCTTGGCAGACGATATTCACTTGGAAGAACAAAAATATTTTCCTTTTCATCTGTCTTCTTTTCTCCGTCCTTTCGATATCTGTAAAAGTTTGGAAGAAATATGCAAAGAAATGAACAGTTTCTGGTTAGAAAATGACAAGAAGATAATCAGCATTCATAATAACATGTTGAATCTTGTTATAGAGCCAAAGAAGGCAACAAGTAATTTTTTTTCGACATACGATGATTCATCACTTCGCTATTTGCATTAAAAATCCCAGCACTTGGTGTTCAAGCTTTATATACTGTTCTTTCTATCTCAATAAAGTTTGTGCTGATCGAACGTTTATATCAAAGTTATGAGTTACGAGAAAAACACTAAATTATTTGCTGTTTTGTATTGCTTGCTCGAAAATGATAACTTTACAGAAGAGTTGAATCAGAACGAGATTGTCCAGGTAGAAAGGGTAAGACATAAAACCTACAATACTGCTCCGATTTTTAGTGCAAGTTTCAGATTTTTAATGAAACTACATAACAAATCAAAATTTGGATGATTTTTCGACAATTTGTATCTCTGCGACGTATGCATGAAGAACATCCTTCCAAACACTATATTAAAGCTCATAACTTCGTCTTTATGAAACAATCAGTTTTATAGAAGTCCTTTGAGAATATGAGAAATGGTCTTTGAAAATGGCGCGATCAAACATTCGGGCCAACTTAATATATCTGTGACTTAACTTTGACTTCAATCCGCTGCGAATACTGAGACTATCATGCTTTGACGATTTTATGCAAGAGGGACGAAAACATTTTCATGTACAAATTAGAACTATGCAACTGAATTTATCTAAATTTGCTTACTGCATTGCTCTTTTGCAGCAAGTGCCAGTGCAGCAACAAAGGACAATTTATATAAAATCAAACTACAAGTGATGATGTTAGTAACCATTTTGAGCTGTTTTACAAAAGCCTGTAGCTTGTATGAGAGCACACTTAATCCTTCGCAACAAGACCAAAATTAGGGCAAATATGCTTATTTGAAAGGGCACCGTCATTGTTACGAATCCCCTTTTTTCAAATTCTTCTTGCTCTCATATTTGTTCCTACTATTTCCCATTCCGCGCAAGCGAGTCATTAGAGAGTATTTCTGAAAAAAAATTGCTGCGTCCTTCATTCCAAGAACATGGCTATAACTCTCATTTTTTCTATATCCACCATTGCTTGTGTACTGTGAACTAGTCCAGTTATTTGGTACAAGAAAGTATCCCGTTTGAGCACATTAGCAATCTGATAGTTTGTTTGTCATCTAATCGGGAATTCATGAGAGATGTGCATGGAAAACAAGTGAACACGAAGTTTTTCTTTGTTTCTTAAACAACTACAGTTTGCCATCTGGAAATCTGTGACATTCGTTTATATGTCCGTGGATAATCACGAGACGCATTTTATTTGTGTGTTTCTGCTAACTGCGAAAATTTGCTCGCAAGACAACTGCAAACAGGAATTCAACTTTTTCTTTTGATAGTCAAATAAATGGTGATACTTACGCATATGCTAGGCTAATTCTTGGCACAATTATTAAAATTGTTGACCTACTCCATGAAGCTGGACGCGTTGACTATCAGTAGCTAACTATAAGAACTTACTTTAGCTGGATATAGAGAAGAGAAAATAACCATAATTGCACGATGATGACAATAATCAATACCATGATAATGAAGCAAGCAAACCCAGAAGAATCATCTTTTGACTTCCTTCCTGATTTCAGCTGTAATTGATTTATGTCACTATAAAGTTTATCAATTTTGAAGAACTTCTGCAAAAGTTGTTCACACAATTTCGACTTGTAGGGCTTAATCTGGTGCTGGACATAATTACAAATACATTCTAGAAACTACCGTAATTTGCGTTCTTGTGGATGAAATTGTTCGAGACTTTGCTGTATAGTGCGCATGTTAGCCTATCATGACTCCTCAAAATGGCTTCCAATTTTGTCGAATTCGAACGGAGAAAAATAGAAAAATTTGAAAATACCCTATCGAAAGCTGGACAAAATTATAAAGACACCTGGGTTTTTTTTTCTGAACATCGCATCCCCTGACTTCAAGAATTTTTTGTACTGTTACATACTAGAATATGAAACATTTGCAACATATGCGACCTGTCTCCTTTCCAAAGGGAAATGTCCGCATTTTTTGCTTTCAAAAGCACCAAAAGTCAATCTGCTTTAACAGACAGCTGGTTTAAAGACTTTTTAAGCTCTTGTTCATTACAAATGATAGTCATGGAATCCACTGACGCTTTGGATAAATAAGGTGAAGAGCGCATTTGCAAACTTTGCGTAATCGATGATATGGACGGAGAGACTCCAACCTCAAATAAACATGCCATGCATTTGAACCACAGAACTCAGTTTGCAAATAAAGTGCTGGACTTGATTTGTTATATTGCCTACATGGTGATGCAGCTTTCGCAACAACTTCCAGATTTTCCCTAATGATGCGGTCGCGATTTAGATCTGATTGAGAGATACTTTCCACGAAAATTCTCTGCGAGCAGTGGATTCGTGATAATCATATATCTCACTATCATCCTCTCTCTTTCATGTCAAATTCTACCCAAAGAATGAAATTAACCAAGATTTGGAAGTTTTGAGCAGTCTCCTGTTCTATTTCGTGATCTGAGTTGGCTATGATTATGCAGGGTGTTCCACTCAACATTCAGTGGATGACAACTGCGGCTGAACCATAATGCTAACTTCGAAGTTCTTTCTCCTGTGCCCACAAGTTTACTATTTATACAGAGGACGTAATGGCTACATCACAGTATTTTCTGTTGCTTGAAAATTGAGTTTTGTGGTTTCAAAGCGTGACAAACCTATGTTGAGGATGGAGTCTGTCCGTCAATATCAGCGACAGAGTTTACGAAAGCGCTCTTCAATTGTTTTATCGGAAAGGCTCAGTGGATTCCATGATTATCATTTGAAATTTGAAAAAAAAAAGCTTGAAAACTTTTAAAAACTAATATTTGTTGAAGCAGATTGACTTTTGGTGCGCTTGTAAGCATGAACATTTCTTTGGAAAGGATGACAGATCGCAGATGTTGCAAATGTTTTATATTTCAGTAACAAACTGTTCAAAAAATATTAGAGTCAAGGAATGTGATAGTGTTCAAGAAAAACAGGTGTCTTTATAATTTTGTCCATCTTCCAGTAGGAGGGGGTTTTCGAATTTTCCTATCTTTTTCCCGCTCAAAACGAAAAGATTGTGCCTTTTGCCTTTTTGAGGGGTCATGGTAGGCTAAAAGCGCAGCACACGGCAAAGTTTCAGACAGACCATCAACAAGAAGGCAAATTACGACGATTTCTAGTGCGTCTTTCTGTTTATGTCCAGCACTGTATAAGGCATTCGAAAAATCGTGACAATGGCCTGACCGAGTGCGACACGCACGTACCTCCCGGAAACCGCGTTCTCTAGGTTTTTTCTCTACTCGAATGGTTTTTCTGATTACATATGACAGTATTTAGACATTAAGACTGAGCTGAGAGTTGAGGTCAGGCAGTTTTGTATGAATGTTTTCTGCTCTTGTGGGTGCAAAGACAGTCAGATCTGTCGTCACGACTTTACAAACGATGTATAGCTTGTCTAATCAGATGATTAAGGTCAAACATGTCTACGAACGCACTCTTCCTTTTAGCCGTATATTACGCCCTCTTTTGTGCAATTCCTTGCATTATATTTCCTTGCGAACATGTATATCTTCAATACGTTGACGACGAGCTGTTTTTTGACGTCTGTCCCTGTGGACGAACCTTTTCCGGGCATTTTTAAAGCCGGTTGCATGTATGTATGTAACCATCTATGCGTGAGGTACAAAAATGCAAGTGGGCGGGGTAGCTCCGCCCACTTTTGAGCCCCGCCCACTTTTCAAAAATGCTGGAAATTGCTCAAAATCAATAAATTCTTAAAAACTCCAGTATTTTTGAAAAGTGGTCGGAGCTTGCCACTCAGGGGGTGGGGCTTGCTTAATGGGAGGCAGGGTCAAAATTAAGATTATTCAAGGTTCCCCAGTCATCTACGAGCTTTTCTATGCGATTTGAGAACGAGAAAAGTTTTTGTAGAGGGCAAAGGAGTGGGCGGAGTTTGCCAAAAGAGGGGCGGGGCCAACATGAAAAACTGAGCCTAAATTGATTATGTGTACACAAATTGGAACCATTGCGCACATTAGAACTGGTGTTTAGGGTGTCGCGCACCATTGCGCGGCATCGTCCACAGGGACAGACTGCCTGTTGCGCACCATTGCGCGACACTGTCGTCAACGTTTTAATAGTCGACAAATCATGCTTATTCGCAGCTCGGGTACACAATCTTATACCCAACGACAGTACAGGGTGGCCGAAAAGTATGGGCGTCACACATTTGTTTGCAAAATATCTCTTAGAAAACAAGGTTTCGTAAAATTAGTTGTGCATGTCAAGAGGGGAGGCGTCCTTTTGTGTTACTCCTACGAGACTGGAATCTTGTACATGCATACAGACTCTAGCTGCTTATCTTGAATTGATGCGTCAAAACATATTTGAAGGATGTGCCCGTCGCAAGCCCGTGGCGGTGCTTCTCTTCCGAATCCAGCGAATTCTAAGACGTGAGGTTTCGAAAGGCATAGATGAGGAATAAGACAGTGCCGTAAAAGCGATAGTTTATCCTTTGCAACGGTGCTGACTGAACCCGCCGCAGAGCCTTACAAGTGGATGCAGATTCGGAAATTTCGTATGCATTTGAACACTTAGTGCGAGCATATTTCATACTAGCTGGCTTTCCCGGCTCCGCCCGGCCTTTCAAAACACTACGACAAGGGTCCCCTCCTATCCATGTACAACCTTCCCCTGTGCCCACTTCTTGCCAATTCCCTATTCCGCTGTGTTAGTAATCAGCATGCTCGATTACCCCTGTGCCAACTCCCAGCCCCGTAGCTCAAGCTTTGCAAAAAATCGATAAAATCGATAAAAGTTATCGATCATTTTGAAAACTAATATTGTATTCGGAATCCCCATGCTTGATTACCCCCTGTGTCAACTTCCAGCCCCGTAGCTCAAACTTTGCAATAAAAATCGATGAAATCGATAAAATCGATATCGATCGATAACGAAAAGTAGCCTACCCGCCTCTCCCCGATGTGTATGTGTGCCAAGTTTGGTCCGGATAGGTTGAGAAATAAAAATTTCTGTTCGGAACATACGTACACACAGACAGACAGACAAACAAACATTCAGCTTTATATACAAGACTAGTGCTTCACCTCTGCTTCGCAGAGGCTCGCACTGGCCATCAAGAAACGATGGTAAACTTGCGATGAGAAAGCTTTCTTTTAGATTATTGCCAGGTTGAATGCGGTGAGAGAGTCGTAATTGAAAATGAACCATACTCGCTATCAGAACCTCACATGCCGCAAAGTATTGTAAACGTTCCTCACTGTATTTTCGTAACAGACAGACTTACAGACCGACAAATAAGCAGATTTTATATGTCATGATATGTCAATGTAGAGGATGTCCAGAAGCTATCGGCGCATCAGCCTTTATGACAGAACTCAGGGAAGGATATATTATATGTTGTAACGCCCATACTTATCGGCTACCCTGTATATATGTGATTTTTGACTAACGCGAATTCGTGTTTCCACTCACTTGCGTCAATCGCAAACTGGTAAATCACTCATTATCACGGCTGTCAATAAGTCAAACAAATTCTCACATTTCGCTCTTCAAGTACAAAAAAGCGGCTACGGGTTGCGAGATTGCTTGTTGATCTCTGCTTTGAAGCAACAGTATGGCTGCAAAGCAGAGCGAGAGGCGCCAGGTCTTAAAAATCCTTAGACTGTTTTGAAATCTGCAAGCGGAATGTGAAAGGTTTCAACCGCGCATTTACCGGTCTAGTCTGAGGTAGAAGCGTCGATTTCTCTTCTTACGACAAAACCCAGCGATATCTGCAAACTTCAAAGCGATGAGATCAACAAGCGGCATCGTCAAAGCGCGTCGTCGGTATCCTACAGTTCTGCAGACGGAGTGCGAAAAGCTAACAACACAATTTTTCGGTGATCGCATACCCACCGGCGGCTGTTTGAGTATCGAGAAGGCTTGTTGAGCCGCATTCAAGACCCTTGTGATGCTCGGGCGGCAGTGGAACTAAAAATGCAATGAGTCACGAGATAGAGTGCTGGCCATAATTATAAAGACACTCTTGGTGCAAAAGTTTTGTCAGTTTTTCAATCCATTGGCAAGCACGCTAGAATGAAGATAAACGCTTCAAAAAGTATCCGAAGCAGAATTTCTTCCCCTTTCCAGCTGCTAAACCCGTTGTGTTTCGTTGAGAGAATGACGAGATATTTGCCGAAAATTACAACCACTTGTTTTTACCATGTCCAACTTTCACTAATTTTTAAAATTTTTGTATGAGATTTTCGGAGAAGCCTCCATAACCACCAGATAGCGCAAACCTTTTGTTAACAAATGCAATTTTTTTCTTTTGTTCAGCTGCTTTTTCAGGATTTTGCTGAGTAGTTTTCTAAAAGTCTTGTGTTTTGGAAAAATCGTGTTGTAGAGCCGTCCCTTATATTGGAACTTGCTCGCTCACTATAGGCTAGGTCGATATGGTCTCTGTGGTTGCGGCGTACCCGCCGCAGCTTGGTATATTTGTGTGTGTTGTTCTCTAGTTATTCCTAGTGAACCCTCGACATGTACGCCGATAGGCAGAGGGGGAACTTTTGTGTTTT